GTACAGTTGGCTTAATGAATGTATCTCCACTGTTTCTCTGTCTTTTTTGAGCAAGATCAATGGATCTCCCACAAGTGAATTCACTCATTTTAAAGGTTTGATGGGTTGTTCAAGAAAGCGAAGGAATTGAATTTGATCAAAGCGGTGGAGCTAAACCAGAGTGGAGTTTCTCGTATTTTTTTTGCAATTCACAGATAAGACCTTAATCTTCTGCAATGCTAATATTGATGAGCTTTTTTTGTTTGTATGTCAAAGAGAATTCTTAGATGCTTCGAGTTTAGCTTATGGTTTGAAAATCAACAGTCACAAAATCCCATAATGTTACAAGAATTAGATGCATTGAGCTTTTGAATGTTGGAAAAGAATTATTAGATGCTTTGAGTTAGTGTCTGGTCTGAAATCAATTACTAATAGATTTCATTTGCAGATTTTTTCTTTTTAATTTTTTTTCAAACCAAGGAAAATGACTTCTTTGTCAATAAGCTGCTGTCTGGTTTGGACAGAAAAAAAATTATTACGATTTTCGAATGGTTTTGTTATTTTTCTTGATTTTTATATTAAAATAAGACCATTTTTATTTTTTTGTAGTTCTTTATTCTCATGTTTAAACATGCAATGAGTACAAGGCTTCAAAATTAAATTTAGTCAGTTTGAAATAACCAAGGTATGGTTATTTAGACAAGAATACAATAATTAGACACAATGAAAATGTAGTCAGATTTGAGCTTTTTGTTGGCAACTTCCTCGGACATGTCCTAGATACATGGTTAGATGGATCAATTTTATCATATGTTTTGGAAATTGCGAATCTCAAAACATATAATAAAATTGTTAGGCATCTATCTAAGAAAACCCATAATATATATTTTTTTGCTTGGTAGGATCCTTTTCAAGTATTATCTGTGAATCAAAGATTTAGAGACAACCCCCCCTCCAAAAAAAAACGAAAAACAAAACAAAAATAGAAAACACAAAACAACTAAAGGTATAGTTACGACACTTAAATTTTCACCGTTTAAAAAAAAAAAAAAAACAACCCACTATGAATTAGGATTCAATTACCGTTTTGATTATACTTCGCTTTAATTAATTATGTAATGTGTTTTTGACCTTAGTCATTTTATTTTTATTTTTATTTAGGAACAACTACAAAAAAAACCTTAAAGTTTGAGTCGTATAACAAAATAAATCATAAATTTTTATTTTTCTCAATTTAAATCATAATCTTCTAATCTTTTTTCAATTTAAATCATTTATTTATTTTTATTAAATAAAATTGACAAAAAATAATATTTTAATAATTAAACTCGATGCATGTATTTATAAAAAGAAAAATTACTCAAAAATCCTATTTGAGAAAACATTGCTCCATTTAGGCCTGGTTTGGAATATCCAAAAAAATTCAAAAAGCCAAAAAGATACTAAAAAAGTTAAAAATTTATCACTATTCACAAAAAAAAATAATAATTTTACACATAATTTATTACAACTCAATCTCACGTCCACTGGCTGTTCTAAGTTTTTTGGAAAAATTGCACAGGCAGGGTGCATTTTCCTCACAATGTTGTTTAGCCCGTGGGGGCCTATCATGGGTCCCGTTTTGATAATCTGAACTGTTCGTCGAGTACTATATGATTATAAAAAACCACGTTGATCGGATATCGATAACTATATGATCAAATCAGTTTTGTATAAAAAAAGGATGCTGTTATAGTTAATGGTTGAACAAAAACTAATCTGATCAGATAGCTATCGGTATCCAATCAATGTGATTTTTGATAGGCATATAGTACTCGACGAGTTCTATACATTGATGGTTTAGATTATCAAAACGAGACCCGTAATGGCCTCCACAGACCGAACAACACAGTCCAATGTAATGCCCGAAAAGTAGGCAACCATTTCTTATCATCAACTTCCTCTACCCAGCCGGTACCTTGTACTGCCTACTGTCCTTATCTTCTCATACACATTAATTTATACAATTTTTTAATACATATTTTTTCGTAAAAAGTCAAAAAGTTAACCCAAACAACCATATTTTTTTCCTCAATTTTTTAGTCCAAAAAATCAAAAAATACACTTATTTAGGATACCCCAAACAATCCTTTAGTCTAAAAATTTTCTTATAAATCAATTAATTCATTTATTTATAGTATGTTTGTATTTTGTTTTTATTTTATTTTATTTATTTTAGTTATCTTTAAGACAAGGGTAAATTACACTGACACCTCCTGAGGTTTATATTTATTACAATTCCTCCCTTCACCTTTTGAAAATTACATCTCTCTCCTGAGGTTTAAAGTTTCATTACAGATTCCCCCTCAGCCCTTTTAATTTTTTTAAATACCAATTTTACCCTCATTGGATAAATTACATTGACACCCCTCACATTTTAGAAACTATAATTCCCTCCCTAAGGTTTAAGTAGCATTACCAATTGTCCCCTCGGTTAGTATTAGTTGGAAAAAAAATTCATTGAAAAAAAATATTAATTGGAAAAAAATTAATTGAAAAAAAAAATTTGTTAGTAAAATTTTTAATTTTTTGTTTAGAAACCAACGTAAACTCATTTTTTGAATTTACATTTTTTTCTTCAAATTTATAAACTGAGACAACCATTTATAAACCAAAAAAATTATCAAACAAGTTTTTATGACAGTTTTTAAATTTTTTGTAAATATAAATTGAAAACTGAAAACGAAATGGTTACCAAACAGGTCTCAGATGGTAAAAATATCGTAAAATTAACAAATAATTAAAGGATTAATTACCTAAAAGTCCTATCTACATATTTGGTAATAACTTAGGTTATCTCTAAAAGTTTTTGAACCAATAAGTCCTATTTATAAATAAGAAGACATTTTTACCCTTCAACCCAAACAGTTATATATATATACATATATAACAACATTGATATTATTTACTGAAAACAAAATCAAATCAATTATGGGAAGTGGATGAAGATACAATTTCGAAAGATCTCAAAGGATTTATCGGTTATGCCTACGTTACTCGCACCGGTGGCTCCGTCATTGAAGTTCACCTTGCATTTCCTATTCATTTTGACGAAGAAATCATCAAGGTTGATTTCATGTTCAAGAACGCACTGCCTTTTCCATTAATGGAACATCAAATCCTTGTTTGCTTCCTCTCTCTGTACTTTTTAGTTTTGTTTTCTTGAATCACCCTGTTACAGCCCACAAAATCTTCTTTACGAGATGCTTCAGTTTCTCTCTTCCTAATTCTCTCAACAACATTGTCTCTTGAATTGATCAAAATCATTGGCTTGCTCTCTCTAGCTTTCTCTCTCATCTTCTCTTGTTTTTAATTTGAACATTCTCAGTTTATAATATTATTATTTTTAATACTGAAAAAAATTGAAAAATTTCTTAAAACTGACAATATTTTCAGAAAAAAGAAATTGAGAAATTTATTAGTTTTGATAATTATAAACTGAAATTATTCTCTGTTTTGAAATTGAAAACATTCTCAATTTATAATATTCTAAATTTTAATCATGAAAAATTTTGAGAAATTTCTCAAAAATATCTAGTAAAATTGAGAAAATTTTTAATTTTTAATATTCTCAATTTTTAAATTATAAAACTAAACACACTGATGATTCAAATAAATCAACAAACAAAAAAACTGACTTTTTTTTTCTTCAAAATAGGCCTTTATCAAATTTTGAGGCCACATATATATATCTCCAGCTTAGATTAACCGAAATTAATAAATCCAAACCTCAAACTACAACTCAAAAAACACCACCAGACAACTTCGTCACTTGGCATGAGATGGGCAATTTCTTGCCGCCGGATCCACAAAGCACACGTCACGGTGCCCTGCCTCAACGAACTGTCCTCCATCTTTTTAGAGAGAGAAATGTGTGTTTTGTGTGTGTTTGTGAGTGTGTGTGTGTGAGAGAGAGAGAGAGAGAGAGGGGGAGAGATGTTTGTGTTTATTGTTGAAATGAAAGTAAGAAATTAAAAGGGAATGTAATAGTATGTAGTATGTGTAGAAGATGGTGGGTCCCAGATAATGGAAGAAGTGCGGCAACTCCAATGATGGGTTTAGTTGAGTGGATGAGTGATGGACGATTGAGAGACAGCGAGAGTCTGTTTGGTTGTTGGTGTTGTGGGAAGTGGGTGTAAAAGTAAGAGAGAGAGAATGAGGACATTAATTGTTTGCCAGATGGAAGAGGTTTTGGAAGGGTAAATTGGTCTATTAAAAATTAATGGGACTTGAAGGAGCAAATAATTTTATCTAGGGCTTAATGGATTATAAGTTCACAAAATGAGACTTGTATATAAATGCCCCATAATTAAATAAGTTACCAACGTAAGAAATGACTTATCAAAAGATTCTTAAGCTATGTATGGTTTGATTTTTAGAATTTTTTTTAAATTAAAAATTAATTTGGTTAAGAAATAAGAAATAAAAAATAAAAAAAAATAATTTTCATAATTTTTTATTTCTTAACCAAATTAATTTTTAATTTAAAAAAAATTCTAAAAATCAAACCATACATAGTCTTAGAATTTTTGATAAATAATTTTTTATATTGATAACTTATTTAATTATTTGTTAATTTTACGACATTTTTACCATCTGAGACCTGTTTGGTAACCATTTTCATTTTCAGTTTTCAATTTATATTTACAAAAATTTAAAAAACTATCATAAAAACTTGTTTGATAATTTTTTGGATTTATAAATGGTTGTCTCAGTTTGTAAATTTGAGAAAAAAAAAATATATTCAAAAAATGAGTTTACGTTGATTTTTAAACAAAATTTTAAAAATTTTACTAACAATTTTTTTTCCAATTAATTTTTTTTCTAACTAATATTAACCGAGTGGGTAATTGATAATATTACTTTAAACCTTAGAGAGATGATTGTAATTTTCAAAATGTGAGACATGTTAATATAATTTATCTAATAAAGGTAAAATTGATATTTAAAAAACTTAAAAAAATTAAAAAAAAATTTGTAATAAAACTTTAAATTTACCTTAAGACAAAAACAATAACACAATGGCCTCAATAGCACGCAAACTCGACGATTATGTCCCCTCCGATTCCGACTTCTCATCGGACTCCGCTAGGATGAGGAAAGACGAACCGAATTCCGCCGCCGCCGTTTCCATCTTCTCCACCAATCAGATCACTCCACCGATTGAAACTAGGGTTTCGGATGCTCGATCGGCTTCTTGCTCTTCTTTGTCCCATTTCCTCTCGATTCGATCACTCTCCGGTCTTCAATTATTCGTCAGAACATTCTCTCAAGGTAATAATACCCTAGTTATTCACGCGAATTCTGAGGATACTGTGAAATACATACACGATCGCATCGAGGAGATTACGGGAATTCCCGTGATCGAACAGAGGTTGATTTATCGGGGGAAGCAGCTTCAGTGGGAACAATCTTTGGCAGAGTGTTCGATTCAGAACGATGCTGGGCTTCAATTAGTGGGTCGTGTGCGAAGTACCCCTCATCCCAAAGCTTGGCAAGTGATGGATGAGATGGTTTCTTTGATTTTTCGGCTTTGTAAAGGCGAAAACACGCCTTCTGCCAAGTCGGCCAAGTCGAGGCTATCGGAGTTCTTGACCATGACGCCGAGGAACGACAATGAAGCTGCTTACGGCCATCTTCAGATATTTTTATCTTCTTGCGCTCCAGCGGCTTTGGTTATGCTCTACATGTCGCCCTATGAAGGTAACAAGGAGTGTGGTGATGAATCGATTCGGCAATTTGTTGATTCTAGTCGAAATGTGTTGCCAAAAGCTATACACGCTCTGTGTGCACCTATAGTGTTAGAATTTTGCAAGTTGCTTGGTAGAGCTGTTCATGACGACCCTTTGTATTCATTGTGTAGAAGTAGTCTTGGGTCAATGGTGGAATATATTGGCTCTGGGTTGGGTTCGAAAAGCAGTGATAATAGTAAGGCATTGGTTGTAGTTCAAGAGGTTTTTCAATTTGTTAGAGATCTTGCAGCTAGGTTGTCTAATGATCTAGTGTTGAGTATCGAATCGCCAACGAATGTGGGGCCATTGTCGAGTGATGTCCGTGATTTCACGGCGTTCTTGCACCCACTACGAACTGCAATTATGGAGCAAGTGGGTTTTGGGGGTCCAATCTCAATGCCATTTTCTGAGGGTGATCATAATCTTCCCTTTTATGATTAAGAGATTAAGTTTCTTTATGGTATATTTACTGATTTATTTGGAAAAATGGAACACTGTCTTCAGAAAATGGAGGAGTGCTTGGCTACGAAAGAGAAAAGGGAAGGTGAGCAAATTCCTCAAGGATGGGACCAGTATCTTGCTATTTTGAAGGAATTGAATATTATCTCTAAACTTTATCAAGGTGCTGAAGAACAATTCTTGACAAAATTGAGGCAGCGAAAGGTTTCTGTTTGTTATCTTATCATCAGATTCGCTAAGCCGAGTGACGATCATAAATGGCTCCTTGAGCACAAGGATGTGACAAATTTTGAATCTAGGAGGCATCTGGCAATGATGATGCTTCATGAAGTGAAGGATGAGTATGAGGAGCTTCATGAGATGCTCATTGACAGGTCACAGTTGTTGTCAGAATCGTTCCAGTACATTGCACTGCAGAACCTGAGGCATAGCGTGCTGGTTTATTTATGGAGTTTAAAAATGAGGAAGCTACAGGGCCTGGTGTATTGCGGGAGTGGTTCTTTATGGTATGCCAGGCAGTTTTCAATCCACAGAATGCCCTTTATGTAGCTTGCCCAAATGATTGTAGAAGATTTTTCCCGAATCCTGGTATGTGCCGGCTGTCTTTCATGCATGGTTTTTTTAAACTACATTTGATTTGTTTGTTATGCCTTTTTGCTCATTGATAAATGTCTATTCTTGAGATTGTTTCCAGGTTGAAATGATCACGAATCCCTATGTTGCATTGATATGTTGTTGTTTCTTGAACCTGTAATAAGCATGGATTGTAGGATTTTGTGTATATTTGAAACTACATTTTGTAAATATGACATTATATTTAAGTAGTTTAATGTACTTGGGCATAACTTTATAAAGAATACAGTAGTGTTCATCAGAAATAGAAGTTAGAGATTGCTTCATATTATGAGCTATGATGTATTTTTGGCTTCCAGCCTTGCAAAGCTTGTGTGATTACATATTTCATGTTAAATGGTAGATCTTAGTCAATGGCGTGGGAACAATGAGGGTATTCTGATTTTTTTTGATAACTAAATATATAAAAATGAGGCATCATATACATCGAAAATCATATTTAAAAACATCTACAAAATCCAATTGTGTAAATAAAAAAGTTGACATGTAATTCATAATGTATTTTATTTTGTTGCATGAAGTGAGAGGATAAAGACTGTAAATAATATAAATGGAACACCTAGGGATGTAATTTAAATATTTGATGTGCAAAATACTTATCAGAGAAAGTTATATTGTGTATATGGTTGGTATCTTCATGTTGTCATTATTTGATTGAATAATAGTCTTCACTTTGCTTTCTTTTCTTTTATTTATTGTCATGTGCTGCCAACGAGTATTCCTTCTCCAAGCTCTGTGGATAGGGACATTTTCTTATCTTTTGAGTAAGGGATTTGGCTAGAAATTGAAAAAAAAAAAACAAAAAACAAAAACAAAGACCAAATTATTTGCTTGATGACTTAATCTTTGCAATAGATGCATCTTTCTTTTATGAATCGAACTGTAATGTATGCCAAGGAGAAAAAACAAGCAAAGTTTAGTTTGGATTTTGTTAGTTCTCAACTAAGCAAAGATCTTTCACTAGCTATTTGACATCAAGGTACACTATTATCATTCCTTCAAGTATATATTGATTGCAATTCTTAAATCCCAGTCTGTATCTACCCTACTCTACCATATGAGCACAACAAATGAGGCTGGATAGTTTTTTCTCTTTTTCACCTTGCTTCCTTGTTTTGAACTTTCAATGAAAACTAATGACTCCTTTGGTAGGAGAGAAAAAAACGAGACAAGGAAATGATGAACTTTTATAATTCCTTCACCCCAAGCATTTGGTTTATTTGTGAAAAGAGAACAAAGGTGATCTTGAAGGAAATAATTGAATATTTTATTTTTTTACTTGTGTTTACCTTACTCTTAAACAATCCGAAACTTGTGGGGATAAAATTGTTTCTGAATTAAGGTTAGTGTACATGTTAACACTGTGTACCTGCACCTTGTTATAAAAAATGTCCTACCTGTGTAGGAAGCTCCCACTTACAACAGGGTCTGGCTGGCTGGCTGGCTGACTGAGGGATAGTATAGTAGGCAGCTAGCATGTCAAATTTTTTTAATTATTATTTTTTGTTGTGTCTAGCCGTGCCTTAAAAACTTTTTGTTTTTTTTAAAATAATTTTGAAAAGTTGATTTGAGGTCAAAGAAAAATATATGAAAATTTATATTCCTATACATAGCAAATATATGAAAATTTGTTCACTCATACATTGATGACTCTCATATCTTCGTGCTCTAAAAATTGATATTCCTATACATAGTAAATAAAATTATATAAAAGTAATCTATATTGTGTTTTGTTATATCCCTATTGTGTCCATATTATAATTTTTTTGAAGTCGTTGCATCCTATGCACATACTTGTGTTTGTGCTTGTGCTCGTGTCTGTGTCTGTGTCCGTGTTTGTGCTTCATAGGTAGGCAGGCAACCTTACCCCCACTTTTTTTCAGGGAGGCTGGTTTTCATGACTCGAACTGTCTTACTCTTCCCTTTCCTCTTCGGTTCTCTTTTCTGTTAGTGTACCAATGAATAGGAACTTTGACTCTGATGAACCACCCCAACAACCCCTCCTACCCTAGCTGATATCTTCCATCACAAATGCATTCGCTGTCTTAATTTAGCCCTTGATAGGCTTAAAAACTTGCTTTCAATGAAGTAATGAGAACACACTATGAATTGTTTGGGGTTTTATTACATTCATTATTTACCTTCTCTGAATTGTTTGAGCATATGTTGTTCATTCATTATTCATATTTCCTGTTCTCTGTCTCTCTCTCACACACACACAAACACACACTCTTTAATTTATAGCACACCACCATTGTCATTGCAACATTCAAAGCTGAAGATTGCTTGTAAATCATATCTTAGACAACACATTTATGCACATTCAACACCAATCTTATCAATTTAGGGGTTTGGTCTGTGTACAAAAGTAGTAACAGCAGTTCTATATGTTGTGTTTATTTGCAGCGTCCGAGGTAGATCCTTTGCACCTTGAATATTTTAGCTTCTCTGGCAGGGTAATTGCCCTAGCGTTGATGCATAAGGTGCAAGTTGGCATTGTCTTTGATCGTGTGTTGTGTTTTTCTTGCAATTGGCTGGAAAGGATGTTTCTTTGGAAGATATTCATGATGCAGATCCATGCTTGTACAACAGTTGCAAGAAAATCTTGGAAATGGATGCTGAGATGTTGGATTCTGATGCACTGGTTCTAACATTTGTGCGAGAAGAGTTAGGATCCGGGGAAATTGTGGAGCTTTGCGCTGGTGGTAAAAGCATTTCGGTGAATAGTAGGAATAGGGAGGATTATGTTGATCTTCTTATTCGGCATCATTCTGTCACATCTATCTCTGAGCAGGTAGCCCATTTTGCTAAAGGGTTTTCTGATATGCTTTGCCAACCATTGCTCCATAAGTTCTTTTTCTGAAGTTTGGAGCTTGAAGATCTTGATCGGATGCTGCATGGGAGTGAAAGTGCTGTTTCAGTGGAGGACTAGAAGGCACATACTGCATATAATGGGTACAGAGAAACTGATCCACAGATACTCTCGTTCTGGAAGGTATGTGCCTGCATGATTCTGGTTTTACTAAATCTTTAATGTTTTACTTATGGAGCGTGTTCAACTTTTTTTTTTCCCTTCTTTTTTGTTTTTGTTTATTTTGTTTTTCATTTTCTCTGAAGTAATCAAAACATATTACATTTGTTTCTTCATTTATACATATATTGGTTGCTTTTTCTCTATGCTGGAAGGGGGGTGGGATGTGGGGGGAGGGAGCATGCATGGGGTTACTTTATGAATAATTCTTTATTAGCCGATGAAACATTGTGTCAGTGACATAACGGAAATATGCATGATATGAGGGAAATAAGGAGAGAAAGAAAAGACAAAGAGTTACAATTTAAGACCAAAGGAAAATGTCGCAATGATGGGAGTAATGCTTTAATTTCCAATTTCATTTGTCAAGTTGAGATTGTCTGAAACATCCTTTTTGCTTTTGTATTCCTTATATAATCTCTTCTAATCCTTTTTATATTCATTACCAAAAATATTATAATTGTATTTCTTACTAAAACCAATAACTAATAAGGTTTACAACATGGGCACCTGATGTTGTGAGCACCTGATGTTCTGAGTAAGTGCTCATACAGATTGTATAAACCCTCTGAGTGATGAACGAGTGTTTGTATGCACCTAAATGAAAGAACACAGGACACATTGAAAGCTGCTGTTTGTGGCATCAAATTAATAAATCATGCCCTAGCTTTTGGAGGATGTAACTGAATCATCATTCTATCTTGAAATGAGAATACAGGATGCCAGTTTTGGATTTATGTGTTATTTGCAGTGTCTAGTGAGGTTAGGAGTGAATTAATACAATGTGTACAAATAAACAAACTGAAGCTAGGGGAGGTGGACTGTGGAAATTTACCTAGGGAACAAGAGGTTTATTGAGGAATTTGAAGAGCTTTATGTTAATTTTTAGACAAGGCATGCGATATGTCCATAGATATATGACATTGGACTTTCAGAAGAGGAAACAGCTGCAAACAGTGATACTGACATAATTAAGACATGTAAACAACCTGATGAGGGTGAGTTAATTTCTTTTAACAGTGGCTTACATCAATGTCCAACATTAAGCTCTTTTATCTTCTTGCCTTAGTTATGGTGCCTGATAATATTAGTTTTTAATTGTGAAATCAAGGTAAGATTAAATGCTAGGTTATCATTGTGTAGAGAAGCTTTAGAATTAAGAGATAAATAAAAAATATACGATAGCCAACAGACCTCTGAAGAGTGCCCATTATTCTTTGTGTAATATGTAGTACACAGGTGGAGAGTTGGTAAGGATATTGGCCAAATCATATTAGCGAGATAGATGAAGCAAATCAAGTGCTGCTTGGAATGTGTTTATTAGGTACAAGTCATACTAAACAGATGTGAGGCTGGTCTGCTTTGTGGGATAAAATTTTCTGTGGTTAAAAGCTATGTTTCATGGAATTAGATATGAGTGGCAGATGTCCTAAATCTTAAGATACAAGGATATATATCCAAAAGGTAGGTACAAGTATGTGAACATTAATATATTGTATAGTGTATAATACTATGGCGTATTTAGGGGACAAGTGAGATTTCTATGTTCCATCCACGTCAAATGTGAGTTTTTTCTTCTTCAAACATCATAAAAAAATTGGAAGATTGACGTCTCTAATTTGGTACAGGGGTTGGACACATCCCATACACTTATCCTAATCATATCCGATACACTAAAGGGAACAGAGAAGTCCATGTAACACTAATTAAAAGACTTGTTGAGGGAATTAGTGTATTAAGATGGAAAATGTTGAGACATCCATGGCAAAAGAAGAGAAGACAGAACTTAGAAACAAATTCTTTAGTACGAAGAAGATATTCTGCATCTCCCTGACACCATGAAATCTCTACAAGTGTGTTATAAATCTAGTATGTTTGAAGTAGTGTGAAGCTAATGTTTGAAGCAAGATCATTTTACATAGATTTGACATTTGTATGTAAAATGAGATGTGGACAACATGTTATCATTCTTTAGTAGGGGCAACAATTATGTGCATTAGTACTTTTGAGACTGGGAATTCAGTGCTTCTATTATAGGCCTCAATATGGAGACTTAGATCTTTAGAATTCTATGTTTGTTTGGTTTGATTTTTCAAAAACTGTTTCTAGATGAGTTTTCGTTTATTTTTAGTGATTTTTTTTTTATATATATATTTTAATCGATTCTTTTTATTTTTTAGTTGCACCTAATCAAATGCATATAAAAAGTAAAACAAATTGACTAAAATATTAAACAAAATAAATAAAAATTGATGAAAATCTGAGTAAAAATCTGTGTGCATTTTTGTTTGGGTTTCTATTTATTTTTAGTGAATTTTTTTCCCTTCATATTTTAGTTACTCTTTTTTACTTTTTAGATGTATCTAATCTTGATGTATTTGCAAAATAAAAAAATTTGATTAACATATGAAAAAAATTCAATAAAGACAAACGAAAATCCGTTTAAAAATAGTTTATGAGAATTGTAACCAAACAAAGCCTATGGGTAAAATATACAGACGCCTGTTGAGATTTGAAGAAAATATAGCAAGCTTCGCAGTTTTGGCATCATTACACTGCCCTCCATTTGGTAAGGCAAAAGAAATCAGAGCTAATACATATAATGTGAAAAGACAAGGATAAACAAAGAAAAATATACATTTCAACATAAAAAATATGACATTATTTTTCCATTCACATGATTAGCAAATTATTGATGAAAAGGGAGTTCAGTGTTGTGTTATGTGAATTAAAACCTAAAGAAAACCCTATGTTACTATGTCAAAATAGTGGGGCTTACAATATTTTCTTCAAACTTCAGGAGAGGCCAATGTAATTTACCCTTTTATTATTTTGGAATTAGTATTTGTTCTTTTCTTTGTTTGTTTTGGATGAGAAAGGAGTCTTTTGTTAGTCAACTCTATCGTGCAGTTTATAGGAGATTCGTTTATTCCTTTTGATATAGTCTTTGATTTTTTCCTTTTTTATAGGGTTCACCTCCTTCAACGTGGTGCTTGGTTAATAATGCTTCTTATCCAAAAGAGAAAAAAGGAAAAAAGAAGAGATTGCATGGATTACAATTTAAGTAAATTTTGTATAAATGAATATCATAAGAGGTTAGTTTTGGGTATAAAGCAGATTCGGAAGGTGTAAACGTGCTAGATTAATTTGAGTAATAGAAACTTGAGGAAGAGTTTATCTCAAAATGTGTAGTATGGGAAGGATGTCGAAGTATTAGTAGAATCTGTGTACCTTCTTCTTCATTGTTCCGTGGCTAGTGATTTATTTGTTCAATTTTTGGTTAGGTAGGAGTTATTTTTGTATCAGTGTAGCATCATGTTGAGGCATGGAGTGCCAATTGTTCTATTTCAAGTAATAGAAACTTGAGGAAGAACTTTTTTTAAATGTGAAGAATGGGATGTCAAAGTATTAGAAGAATCTGTGTATCTTCTTTTTCATTGTCCGGTGGCTAGTCATTTGTTGAATCTGATTGTTCACTTTTTAGTTTGGTAGGAGTTGTTTTTGTTTCAGTTTAGGATCTTATTGAGGCATGGAGTGCCAATTATGCTAAAATATGGGTGAGGAACTTGGTAGGCATTTGCTTTATGTATTCTATGGATAGCGTGGACAGAGCGGAATAGAAGATCTTTTGATACTCTTGAACTCCCTATTATTAGCCTGAAAGGATCGTTGCTCTTTTCTTCCTAAAATGTTCTTTGCTCCTTTCTTTGGTTTTTTTGGGCTACGGGCCAAGTGTCTTTTTTTTCTTCGACTCTTTTGTGCAGATTATAGGGGATTTGTTTATGCCTTTTGATAGATAGCTTACAGCTTTTTGTTTTTTTAAAAGGGTTAGCCCTCTTCAACATGGTGCTCAGTTAATAATACTCTTTACTTATAAATAAAAAAACATAAACAAAAACAAAAACAAAAGATTGCATGGATTAGAGCTGTTCATGGGACCAGACCACTTGAAATATTTGACCGACCTAGGGATGGCAATTTGAACCCGGCCCGACGGGGACCCGACCCCCTGTCCCCGATAAGAATGGTTTTTTTCCGAAAAATACCCCCGACGGGCCGGGGATGGTATTAAAAAATAAATCCCTGGTGACATTCGGGCCGGGGACGGTGATATATATTTCATCCCCGGCCCGCCCCGGCCCCGGCCCCGCCCCGGTCAGCCCCCCGATTTATATATATATTATATATATGTTACACTCTCTGACAACACGCTCTATCTCACACTCTCTATTATATTTATATATTATATTATATTTATATATTATATTAAATATATTTCAACCCCTGTTTGTTGAATAACTCAGCAGCAGAAGCTGTATCTCACTCACACTCTCTTCTCTTCTCTCACTCTCTCTCTTCTCTTCTCTTCACACAGACACAGACACAAAGCCTCCTCCAAGCCACCACCACCTCCTTCTCCTTCTCCTCCTCCAGGCCACTGCAGCCTCCTCCTCCGTCGCCACGGCAGATCTGATGGAGTGTAGCACATCGTCGATCTCCACCGCCGATCTCCTTCGCCGATCTCCACCGCCGCCCTCCTCCGTCGATATCCTCCTCCGCCGCCCTCATCAGCTCAGATCTGTAAGATCTGTTATTCTTTTTTTTATTTGTTATTGATTTTTTGATCTGATGATCTGTAATTTTTTTTTTTTATCTGTTGATGATCTGTAAATTTTTTTTTTTTTTGATCTGTTATTTTTTTTGTTGATCTATGTTGATGATGTTGAATGTTGAAACAGAGTTGATGGTGTTGAATGTTGAAACAGATCTGTTTTTTTTTATGATCTGTTATTCTTTTTTTTTTTTTTTTTTATCTGTTGTTGGTGTTGATTGTTGAAACAGAGTTGGATCGGGGACTTTTCGGGGTCGGGGAAACCCGATCCCCGTTGGGGACGGGGATGGGGACTGTGACAGGTTCCCCGTCGGGGATCGGGGCCGGGGACGGGGAAGTTTTGGCCATCGGGGATCGGGGACAGGGAGGGTGGTCCCCGGCCCCGTTGCCATTCCTAGACCGACCCGACCCAAAATTGAAAGCTACAGATGGTTTTTTAGAATGTGCGGTCGGCAGTGGGCCTTTCACTATTTATAAATCTGGGTGATGTGGATGTGGTCATTTGAAAATTGTGAAACCAACTCGACTGAATATTTGAATTAAAACATCTCATCCACTTATGTGTTACCCTATAGTTTGCTTGAGATATCATACAACCGGACCACCTTATCACAGTCGGTTTACATTTATTTCTAATGGTTCTCTCTCAGTTTTGTTCTTGTCATCTTCAAGATTTACAGATCAAATCTACATCCTTCAACAACCACTACCAACAACAGAGTACGCCAGAAATTTTGACACCTCCAAAACCCTAGAATCTGCACCCAAATCTTCCTCTCACCCGATGAAGAGCCTTACTCGATTTGCTTTAATTTTTTAAAAATTGTTTTTAGACGATTTTTTAAAGTGAACTATTTTCATATTTTAGGCCATTTTTATTTATTTGTTTATTTTTAGATGCACCTAATCTAAATTATTCTAAAAAGTAAAAAAATGTTGATTAAAATATGAAAAAAGAATCTAAACCAAAAGTAAACCCCAGGCTGTGTTTGGTGTGGAGTTTTAATTATGATTCCACACTATATTTGGAGCTATGTGTTTGGATAGAGCTTTCAAAATACATTTTCACACCACTTTTGAAAACACTTTTTAGGCGGGATTTGAATTTTGAAATTTCGCCTACCTGGACGTCTGGCCGGTTGACCAAAACAGTGTTTGTTTGTTTGTTTGTTTTTTTTTTTTTTGGCAATTGCCTCCTATTATTTTTTTTTATATTTTAAATAAAAAATATTTTTTGAATTTTTTAAAATTTTTTATGAGTTTTTAATAGAATTTTGAGTTGTGTGTTTGGTTATGAGTTGTAAATTTTTGAATCAAATATTATATGTAACAGAACTATCTGACAGAACTATCTAACACATGCTTGAACTACTGATATATCGCACATTTTATGTGCTTGAGATTAAGTCAATATGTATGGAGTTGTGGCATGCGTATGCTATTTGATGTGGTTTAAGCTAACGTGTATAAGGAAGTCTTGTATGTTACTTGTATATCTTGTCATACATATATACCAGAGAACATAAAATTTTCACATGGTTATTTGTTTTATCAACTTAGCCACCACCATCGTCAGCGTCTTCATCGTGGTGGTAGTTGTTTTATTTGGGTTTCTTGTTGGTTAGAATTTGATATTCTCCACAATTTCTGGTGTTAGTTTTTTGCAGAGTATAGCTCAAAGCTGCTGGAGTCTACCAATTACATTACCATGTGACAAGCTGTCAAGGTAGGATGAAAGTTTGAAAATATGTAAATAATTAAAAAATAAATAAAAAATAGACATCTCAATATCTGATCCTCGGGAATGCAATTTTGTCTCTAGAATTGTATCCTTTATGGATGATAGGTATTTGAATAGTATGAAGATGTGTCATTTTCTCGTTTTTTTGCTGGTGTACAAATGTAGGCTACCTTCTCCTTATTCATGAATCATGTCATATTTTGCATAATATTGGCTTATTGTAACAATACATGTGTTTTATATGATAGCATGAACTTCTTGATTTTGTTTACTGGAAAAAGTTTTCCACCGAAACAAATGGCGCATAAATTTTTTTTTCTTTTTCTTTCAGTCCAACATCTTCATGATTCTTTTTATAGATGTGGCAGTTTCTCTGGTGCTTGTGGCATCATATTTTGATAAAATATCTGGAATTCTACTGTGATGACATGATATGTGAGCTCAAGGGATGCCCATCCAAAAAAGAAAAAGAAAAAGAAAAAGTGAGCTCAAGGAATAACTTAAGGATTCTTATGAATCTTCTCAGAGTATGATACTCTTTTACCTTTTATTGTTTTACATGACAGCGAGCTACCAAATATGCCACTTCTTCCTTGGCAAGATGGTATTTAAATATTGTCTCCATTTTTTACTGAAGTTTTGTGGTTTGAACCACAGATCTCTGTTGTGGAGTTTGTGGTGACCCTGGTTGTTAAAATTTTATGATTCAGTATTCAATACGAGTTTCAAGCAGAACAATTCAATTCGTTCAGTTGAATATTAAACAGAGTGAATTTTATGATTCAATTGTGATTCATTATGATTCACAGCAATTCAAGCAATTCAATTTATTTACATAATGCATGAAAAGGCGTCAAAAAAATAAAAATAAAAATATATAGAGAAAAAAGATCAACTAATTATATAAATATATGCGGTTTAATATTTATTGACATATATACAATTTAGTTATATTAATATTTATTTCATGGAAAATGTTTGCGACTCCACAAAAGTGGTCTTACAATTTGACCTACAATGATATAACATGTTAGGTGTCAATTTCTAATTTGTTACACACCCAATGATATATAGCCCAATTTCCTTGTTATATGGTGGGTGAATTTGTGGGTCTAACACTTCTTTTTATTTCATTTTAGATGTTGTGTATTTTTATACGTATATACACATAAAATTATATATTATGCTAAATAAAGTGAATCTTACGAGGCACAATACAACAACTATGATGGTGACCACAAACAAGGCAACCCAAAATTAGGGGTGGACAAAAGCCAAGAAGCATGGTCATGGATATGCAAATTTTCAAAAAATTTATGACATGAGGGGATGTAGGGACATAATAGTTTATATGTTTATTACATGTCATATATTTTTTTAGGAAAATGTTTGAGGGTCACAATTTTTGTGGCCACAATGGTTCAAAACTGTCAAAACGACATCGTTTTGGCATGTTTTGCACCCAAAACGACGTCGTTTTGACAGTTTTGAGCCATTGCGGCCACAAAAATTGTGGCCCTCTAGCATTGTTGATTTTTTTAATATTCTAAATTATTCTATGTCAATATTTATTTTCATCAAATCTATAAACCTTAGATATTTATTATATGCCATATGTTGCGTGTCCCCCAGAATGTTCCAATGTGTACCTAGCTTGTTTAATTATTCAGCGTGTTTGGCACTTGTCCGTGTTTGACACTTGTCACAACACTAGTACATGTCCTCCAGAGAAGTGCTTGTGTTTCATAGGACAAATGAAAAAAGCTTGGGATCCCCTTTTTTGGGACCTCCACAACCTTGTAGACGCCTCATTTTTTACCGCCCTTAAGACTTGGGTGATGATGAAATAATATGTTGTACAAACGTTCAAATTCTTTGGCAAGAAGCTTCGGTTTTGAGTTTTAGAGCCTAAAATCTTACACCCTTTGGACCAAAACCTAATTTTTTTCTAGCCTAACCACTCAAAGGCTTGCTGGCCAATTTTTAGTGGGCGGACGTCCCCCTACATGGCTGGTTGGCCATGTTTCCTGGCAGGTAGATATTTGCTGCTAGCTGTACCCCTTCCCATGTGCATGCCTTGCACCAACTAGCTCCACACAGATATTTTCGACTGAAGAACCTGTTTTTCTATAAACAAAGGACCATCCCTCTTGGTTTAAGGTTGAAAAATTCTCCAAGTGCCCAAACCTTGCTGAACACTCTCCCTCTTTATCTTGCAATATACATACACTTCCTAAACCAATATTTTGAGGCTCCTTGCTGAGGTTATTGAGCTAAAATTGCAACCCTTGAGAGTGAGCAGCTTATGGTTTGTGAACAAAAGAGTATATTCTCTTCAAAAGTATAACTCTTGCCATCTTTTGCCTACTCTTTACTCTTTTCTCTTTTTCTTGGTATTTATACTCCGTTTTGGACTGTTTTTATGGGCTAAAACTTGTGATTTGAAAGCTACTCAAGGTGGAGGGCTTAACTACCCTTTCTTGAACCTCATTACATAGCTTTTATTCTTGTGTTTCCCATTTTTTTTCTCAACTTTTAGCTACTGATTCTCAAAATTTTCAGAGGCTAAAACATTTGGTTTTAAGGTCCAAAAAGTAGAGGGGTTAGCTACCCCTCCTTAGGCTTGCTTACTAGTTTTGTTCTATTCTATTTTGCTTACTTTTTTTTAGCTTTTTCAAAGTAATTTCAGCACTGTTTTTGCTGTTTTGGAGGCTGTTTTAATTGTTTGCTTAGTTTATGCTTTGAATATCATGTTTGTATTGTTGTAAGTCCTCATAGATTTTGTGGTTTAAGCCTTAGATACCAATCAATTTGAGGTAATAGCTTTTATTTCATAGTTTTCATACATATACTCACACTTGTAATAATTATTTCTGCAACCTCTCTACTTTCTTGGATTTCTTTGTTTAAGAGTTGTTTCAAACAATGGATCATTGTTTAAGGCATGAGAAAGAAACCTTCTATACTTAATAGTTTAATCTCTTCAAAGGTTCATTGCCAAGGCATTACATCTCTCTTATGCTAAGGACAACCTCTTGTTTGATACTTCTTTTTATTAGTGGACGTAACCATCACTTTTGGACAAAAATGAATAAAGAATGGAAAGGTAATAAAGAGGGCTAATAAAATGGAACTAAAAATGGTGAAAGATGTAATAAAATCAAATCGGGGTTCAATTGGACGTTATATTGAACCTATTGCGTCTTGACTCATTGTGTACTCTTTAGTGACGTTCAATGGTTCAAAAAGTAATGTCCACCTCTTTCCTTGAGATAAATCCATGATAGGAAGAGGTGTTATTGGTCTTTCATTTCATTTTATTGATCTTTTTGTCCCATTGGTTCATAGATCATCATGCAACTTGCGACAATTGATGATTTGTGGACCGTTTATACTCCTCCCTTGATCAGTTTCATGATAGAGAGAGACAGAAAGGATAAACATCCCCTGAAAGCACTCTGTTTTTGCTCTGTTTTAATTCTGTGGCAGCAAGGCAACACCTAAAAATAATGGCCGGTCGGCCACCCTTCCATCCGACTGACTACTTTTTAAGGCCAGCCGGGCCACCCTAGTGTCACGACCCAAGCCCGCCCCTATGGGTTTAGCACCGTAACCGGCCAGTAATCCGTGATTACCGAAAGCCTACTTAATAGTAATAACAGTAATACAGAGTACAGGGGCTGGCAGAAGCCAAAACAATAAATGAAAGATGTCCAATGAGCTATGACAGTCTGTATGCCAAAAGATTTTTCATAACATATTCACATTCTGGACCATAACAGTATATACATACATCATGTACAGACATTCAGGTTAGGGACTGAATCCCTACCATAACAATACAGTAATAGTTTCATACAGTTTATACAAAATAGAAACAAAAGGGTGAATTGAGACACCCAAAAAAGCCTAAGCTTGAACACACTTAGAACCTCGCAGTGAGGCACGTTGGCTGGCTTGACAAAAAGGGAGATTAACCCAACGCTCCTAGCTCCGCTCTGGTGCCTGGACACCTACATATATGTATAAACAATGAGCTAAAGCCCAGTGAATAACATATGCGTAAAGAGGTTAAAAATGAATGTCCTTTCAGTATTTAAAATAGTCATTTGAACAGTATATCAGTTATTCGATCAAAGCAGTCATAAGTGGTACATCTAATAGCAAACAGTACAGTAGGTCTTAATAGACCGAACAGTCAATTGATGGCCATCTTATCAGTAAACAGTAGTGGTTCCAAACATGGGAACCGACAGAGATCTCTGTGACAGTAGCAGTACAGTACAGCAACAGTAAATTGCTATGGATGCCACGAATACAGTTCGCAAATAGGACAAGCATTCATTCAGTAAGAAATATCATTTCAGAAAACAATACAGTTGATCATTCAGAAAATATTCATGATTGAATATATTTTTACAACATTGTTACTCACAGAGTTCTGGGCTATAGATAGGCTAGTGAGCGTCCTCGGATGCCAACCCTACACAGTTACGGGATGAATACACACTAAGTTACACGTTTGGAAAACAATAACTTAGTCCCTATCTTGACTCGGTGTGGTTCTACATCAATATCCTCATTAAGATGCCTTAAACATGGCCTAGGAATGCCTATGATGGAATGAGGATGTAAGGGTGCACTTTAAAATACTTTTCAAAATTTTCAGAAACAAGGGTCTCGTTCGAGCGTGGCTTCCTACGCTCGAGTAGACATGCAGACAAAGGGTCTCCGCTCGAGCGTGACTTCCTTCACTCGAGCGGACTACAAACTACAGTAAAAGTACTGGATGCACAAAAATCACGCTCGATCCACGCTCGAGCGTGAGACACAAGTCCTCGCTCGAGCGTGCATTCCCTCGCTCGAGCGGACTGCAAACACATGAAAAGTACTGGATATACGCATTTCACGCTCGAGCGTTACTTCTCTCACTTGAGCGGGCTGCATGTACTCAGAGTGTACGCTTGAGCGTGAAGTCCTTCGCTTGAGCGTGGGTCCAAAATCTAAAATTTTCAAATTGAACCTCCAAGCTCAAAATCAACTTTTAAAACCTTAAATCCGATCCTTTTGGGCTAATTTTCTGGAAAACACTTTAAAACTCACAATATGACATGTTTTAAAGATCAATTTACAAAACCAAAGTCCAAAGGTAGTTCAATTAAAACACAATTTCAACAAAACTCAAGAATATGATGAACATGCAACATGCAAGTGTTCAATTGAAATCAAAGCTTCAAATACTTGTTCAAATGAGTCAATTCCTTCAAAAACATGCTGAAT